CCCCTTCAGCTCTTTCCAAGTGCTAGTGCCCCTGCAAAGGGCAAACTTTGGGAGAGTCAGAGTGTGGAGAAAAGGTGCCTGTAACACTTTTCCAGATGAGGAATAGTGAGGACTGAGGCCGTTCCCAGTTGGTGCCTGGTCATTAACATGCCCCAGGTACCCTAGCACATTTCGGCTCCCAGAGAGGGCCAGTGCTGCAGCTGACCAGCCAGTGATAGGAGCTCCACTGCAAACCCATTGGTCATAAAGGCCTCAAGGCTGCAGAATGATTCAGGTGGATGCATCTGAACACCTTCAGTGAGTCCTGGTGAAGTCAGTGAGATTCTGGTCTGCTTGTGTGGATCATTTGCAGGAAAAGAGCCAAAAGCAATTACAGGGGAAAGTCAGGAAGGAGGGGGATGAATGTTCCTTAAGGATCTTCAGCTGACAGGGCAAGTGGAGAGCATTTTGCAGGGAATCACTTCACTGACTACAGCTATATGATGGCTGCCATTTTGTCTGACACAGCCCAGGCTGAACTCAGGACTGACAGAGCTAAACGTGCCAGCTACTGCAGCTTAAGCTCCACAGTCCCAGTTCCCCAGCTGGACCTATAACAGACTGCCACCCTCTGTGGAGCAGGTATGGAAAGAGCCCTGCAAAACATATTCAACAGAAGATTACAAGTACACTGAAAAGAGTCTCCCACCTGGGGAGGCAAGTTATTGTGCTGCCAGGTTTATCTTGGGCAATGCACATTCAGTTGTTTCAATTCAGAGAATACTTTTATCCCACTCATTACACAAATGAGCAGTAGCATGTGAATCCTTATCGTACAACAAAGCGAACAATTAGCCAGCTGGTTTGAGGGCAAGGAAAGGACTCCAAGCAGCCACCTGGAGAAAGAAGCCTTCCCACAGAGCAAAAGAGTTGAGCCTCGTACCATGCCTGGAAGAGCAACCAAGGCTTTGTTAGGCCATCAGAGAAAAGAAAGGGCAACTTGCCAATAAGACCTTGGCACCTGCCATTGAGACTTGGATGTCAGCTCAAGCGTCCCAACAGACTTCACACCAGGTTGCTGATTCCTGCTATTTTAGCATGAGTCATGATAGTTGGCATTGTCTTTGAAGGCCCCAACTGCTGGAGTCAGGCCATTACCAGAGAATCTCAGGTCTCACTTAGAGGGGCCCAGGAGACCTGAAGACTCCAGTGATTTGCCTCTTTATAAATGAAAAACTCCAAGCTCCCAACCAAGTCATAAAGAGTGAGGAAGAGTGGAGTTGGCGTTAAAGAGCTGGACTCAGGAGATCCAGGCTCAGTTCCTAGCTCTGTCAGGGCCCTCAACTCCCTGTCCCTCAAGTCCCCATGCATAACATGAAAACGATAATCTTACTCCCTGTCCATTTACGTCCTAAGCTACTTACCCATGTTCAGGAGTCAGGGATTCCAATATGAGCTCAGGCTTTGGAGCATTACTGTGATGAAAGAGTTGTATTTCACCAAGCCCATCTGCACATAACCACTCTGCTGCTGGAATACAGTGGCATTCTATAAAGTGAATAACAAGATCCATGAAATGTACTTTATGGAGCCACGGACTTGGTATTTGAATGCAACACAGCAGCAGGCACTCTCTGGAAGTATGATGGATACTATAGGAATGATGCCCACACAATATCTTGTGCACATGTTCAAAATTTTGGGCTACTAAAAACTGGGCCTCTCAGGCACAAGAAGAAATGATTCACCTTCCAGTTTCAAATTGTGCTTTGTCGGAACTATAATTACTCATGTCTGATTGATTAGATCAGGGGTTGTCATGTACCCCCTGGGGGACTTAAGAAGGCCCTAGGGGGTACACATGGGCAGGCGGGGATGGAGCACTGCCATGCACCATCCTGCGCTGCTGTGCAGGCACCACCCACCTGGCTGGATGGGCGTAGGGGAAGCTTGCATGCAGCGGCTGCCACCCCTCCACATTCAGCGGTGCGCCTCCTCCCCCCCAACTCCTCTCCCACTCTGTCTGGCCACCAGGGGTACACTAATCCAAAAAGGTTCAAAACCCCTGGATTAGATTGATTTTTCCCATTCTATCCAGTGAGAGTCCAGTTACGTGAACTGGAAGGAAATGATCCCTCTTCTATTACTCCAACTCCTATTTTTGTTAAGTTAAAAAAAATGCCATATTTTTCTTATTCTTGCTTTTCCTAAATGTAAGGAAGTTGCACAAAAATATCCTGAAGCACATATAAACTCTCTCCCACAGCAAAAATAACTTTCTCCAGTTTAAGATGCAATGGATTTTATAAAGAATTGCAATGCAAAGTTCTCCCTCTCGTTTTCTTCCCCATTATAAATATGATTCTTTTTACAGTGCAGTTGAATGTGATCCTCAGTCTGAGGATCTTAATCCACATTATGAATTTAGAAATTTCTGGGCACATCTATATATGCACTTCCCTTGCACAGTAGCCTATTTTACTGTGCATTAAAGCATCACATCAAAAACTGCACTAATATGCTAACGCACAGTAAAAATAGGCTACTGCTCATTAAGCATCACTAAAAAAGTGTGCACTTCTGCTGCTGTGCAGTAGGGCAGCTTAATGCACATTTATTTAATACCTCACGTTAGATGTATTAAATTCAATGTGCATTAGGGAACATGAATTACTGAACACGTAGACATGCCCTCTGTCCTGCAAACTTTAAGAGTTCAAGGAGCTGCTCATATGTGTAAGCTGGTCACTGTTGTTTCCCTTGCTGTTTGCACAGTGATTCTCCACCAGGGTGGTGCAGCACTCTGGGGTGCCTTGAGATTCTTTCAAGGGTGCCGTGGGGGTGCCACACAATGTTAGCACTATTAGGGTGCAAGCATGTTTCACCAAATTAACCCAGATATTTCAAATAGGAAGCCAGAGTGTTAAAACCGTTCTGCCCTGTTGTGGGCTTTCCTAGGTCTTTGCAACAGAAAAACTGCCCTATTATTTTATTTTTCCACAGTGAAAAAGAGGCAAAACTAAAAGCTGGCATTTTTTGAGGGGCACCTTAAGTCTAACAGAGGGTGCTTTGAGTCTAGTGAGGTTGAGAACCACTGTCTTAGCATAATAGGAACTATCTGAAGAAGCCACATTTGGGGCTAGTCAGGTCCCAAATAACCACAGTTAGTAAATGTACCCAAACACGTTGGACTTGCCTATGGCTGGATCTAGAATTTTGTAAAAGGGGGTGCAGACGGTGAGGTGCATCGTCACCTATACTACAACATATTTTTCTCCACTTAAAAAGAAACTAGAGACTTTACTAATATGCTAGGGGCCTGGGGCTATATTATTCCGTTTAACATCCAAATAAAAAACCAAATATAACAGTATGGGAATGGGCATTAATTTGCTATATCATATATTATGAATAAAAACAAAACAAATTAGGCACAAATCATCCAAAGATGTTTCATTAGTTCTGGAGTCATTAGAATTATATGCACAACTCTTTCAGAGTCATAAAATAAAATCCAGCATCTTGACAAGTGCAGCCAGTGCTTCACTGAAAGTAATTTCCAGGCCTGAGAAATGTTTGTAGCTAGAGTTAAAAGCAGTCTGTAGGGCTGTGAAATAGGAGCTATGTGACCAGGAGCAGCTAGCGGACAGCAGAATTGCAGAACAAAGGCTAGCTTGATTAGTAGAATCAGTCCAGCACTTTAGATAATCAATCCCTACGGGCTTTCTTTCCCTTGGAAACCCTTGTCCTGTTCCCTCTCTTAGAGGCTAGACCTGACAGGCCTGGCCTCTCCAGTCTCTCCTTGTGCGGGAGCCTCTCCATAGTGCTCATCCTCCCCACTGCCCTCTCTGGACCAACTCTAAACTGGGCCGTAAGCACCTGTGGAAAGGAGAGTTGAGAGGAGCCAGGTGGATAAGCACGAGCTGTCACAGCCAGGCAGGGCAGGAGAGGACTGCGGTGCCACCGCAGCCGTACACACGGTGCATTGGCTGCTACTGAGCCCTGAAGCACAGTTGGGGCCCAGGGAAGCCCGGGGTGGCTGCGGACACACGGGCAGGCACTGCCAATTGCTGGCAAAGCTCAGCCAGCATTGTCAGGTCTTAAATACGAAATTATTGTATTGGAAGCTCAAAATGATCAGATTTGCTGAAAAAACTATTGTACCCCGAAATAATATACAAATAAGTATGCAAATAAGTCTTTTTCTTATTTATTTGTTATTGCTCACTGTAACTCGCCAGTGAGTGAGAGAGAAGGGGTCAACAAAGCTGAATCATTTCTTTGTTTTAAGGTAAGCCACTGTAAGGAGAGGGGGGCAGCAAACCCAGGAGGAGTCAGTGAAGACGCCCTGAGCCAGGCTCAGGTTTTGCACGTGCTGCATCAATGCGCTGCCTCAAAAGTGGGCCTTAGTTTTGTCAGGTACCCGCGCTGTACATTCTGAGCACTTTCACTATTATTGGACACTTTTGTTTTTAAAAGGCGTTTTGAGCGCGTGTGCTATTCTTGATCGTGCGTTGCACAGGGGTTGAACTGATGGTACAACTACGGTCACTGTTGTACAGCGGGCAACACCGGGCACAGCCGCCACCTAGCGGCGGGCGCCTGCCGAGGAGCAAGGGCCGGGCAGCCTTGGGCTGCAGCAGGGAGCAGGGCCTGGCAAGGGTGCGGCGGGGCACCAGCTCCCCCGGGAGAAGCCCCAGAGGCCCCCCTCCGCCCTGCCCTGCCTCAGCAGGAGCACCGCGCTAGGATTTTTCCGTAGTGAAAAAAACCAAAAAACAACCCCCGTCGAGTTGCATTTTCCAAACGGGGCTTGAGTCTAAAACCCCGCAGTGGAGACCCCCTGGCAGGAGACCCCCTGGCAGCTTCAGTAAAGCAGCCCCCCACCCCGCGTAGTCCGTGTCGCTGCCTCTCTCGGCGCCGCGGTCCCTTTAAGAGGCGGGGCCGCTCCCGCCCGATTGCGGAAGTCGCTGGGACTCGGAAGGCCGCGCATGGTGCGGAGTGTCCCATCGCCCGCAGGGCGGGTCTGTGGCGGCCGGCGCTTGCCCCGGGCAGTGAATGAAGTCGAGTCCCGCAGGGCTCCGGGGCGACAAGCGAGCGGCGCACGGAGCGGAGGGGTAGCCCACTGCCTCTAGCAGGGCCTGGCCGGACGCCCAGAAGTTTAGGGCTGGAAGGGACCTCGTGGGATCATCGGGTCTAGTCCCGCTGCTCTCTCCTGCCGAGTCTTTCCTGCCAGCCCGCGGTGCCTGGTAGGGCTCCGGGCGCAGGGCCCGCTTGGGGGAGGGAGGGGTGTCGTGTGTGAGCACGCCTGGCTGAGAAGCAGGGGCGGCCCAGACGTGTGCTCCCAAAGGAGCAGCTTCACTTGATGCACAGATAGTGAACGAGGAGTTCTGCAGAACGCGAGGGTGGCATCTCTGCTCAGACTATGGACCATGTAACACTCTGCCGTCTGCACAGACTTGACCATGACATTGCAGAGATGTATTCCTTTTCCTCAAGAGTATTGGACTGGTTAACCTTAAACTGGACTTTATAATTGTTGCTCCAAGTCACCCATATGAATGAGAGCAGTTTCCTGTGCTGATAGGTACAGACCTAGCAATGGGCTGTTTCTTACTGCCCTGTGACCAGGATCCATGTAAACCTTGCCTTTCAACAACCCTCCCCCGAGTTGTTCCACTTCACCTGGGTTGTACTGCTTGTCAGCACCTGTCTTAGGTGTTTGCCCTCCCTCCAGGATCATGACTGCCTGGTGCTGTACTGCCAGGATTTACCTTGCCAGCTTAAGGCCCCTTATTGTTAGGAAAAGCTTGGCTTGTCTGAGATGGGGTAAACCTGGCATATTCCCATCTGATGACAAACTTAGCTGGTTTAAAACTCAGCTCTTAGCCAAGACCACTCTGGCATGCTGGGGAATCACGGAGCTGTCACTTGGTGTGAGGTGCCAGGAAGCTCCAAATAAATGTACCCAAATAAAAGGGGCCGTACTCCCCAAGCCTGTCGGAGAGAAGCCTTCCAGCGGATTCCTCTGGTATCTTGGTTTTTCCCTTCACCTGGGGCTCCGGGCTTGTGTTCTCTTGTTGAAGTTTGGCCCCCTGATTCTGCTTTATCCCTGGACCTACCTGTCTTCAGGTTTCACATCTCTCTGGCTTCAACTTCTGCTCAAAGCCACACAGTCCTCAGGCCCCACCTTTATCAAACTGGGTCAGTGGGCCAGCACCAGGAGGGATCTCTTCTCTGAAGAATTCTGCACAAAGTTTTCCAAGCTTCATGTAAAGGTGAGCCCTCATCCCTGGGGTCACACCAAGCAGGCGCTTCAGAAAGCATTTGGGGAAAACTGGAAGAAAGTCCTCAAGTTTAAAAGTAAGGAACCTATTGGCTCTGGCTGTGTTGCCCAGGTATATAAAGCATATGCTGATGCCACTGCTATTGATGACCCACAGTTTGAAGAACTAGTCAGGAGCACTGAATCAGAATCGGCTCTGGAAGCCTGGGAGGTATCTGGATTTCAGGGCATCTTCAGGTGGTGCTGGAAGAAGTGTGGAGAGATGTTCGGAGAAAGCAATGCAGAGCAGCTGCTTCAGAAGGACAGTTCTCATGGAGACACTAGTAGGACTGCTACCTTTAAGAAGTCAGTGACTGGATCTCAGCTGACTACCAACACCTTACCCCCTGCTGATAGTTCCAAGGAGATAGATCACTTTATTCCTGTAGCCATAAAAGTAAGTGTTACTGGTGGATGCCTGGGATGAGAGATGAATATTGGACTGTCAGATGGTTTGTAGTGTAGGTGCTGCTTAGCCTCTCCTCTCAAACAGCATTTCTAGCAGTCTTCAGTCCCACCTTGCGATACCATTTACCACAAAACTCAGCAAATGATCCTGACCTGCAAAAATCCTCGCTGTTGAACTTCTGGTGCTCCCTGGTATGCAGCTCACCAGTAACACCATTTGGTGTGGCGTTCACATAACAAATCTAAGTAATGTGACCTCATTTATGTAAACCCAAGGCACTGAGCTAGACCTCATCCATGGTCAAGAACGGCCCACCAGATTAGCCAGCCATACTGTGCCTCTTACACAGTGAAATTATATATGAGAAAAGAAAAAAAATCTGTTTTCGCTTACCTCAGTTACCAGGATTAAAGCAGGCAAGAATTAAACTTCGTGAGGCTGTGGCTCTAAATTGCTTGGAATGATTTACTTCAGCAGTTATTCATATCTTAAAGCATGGATTGATGGGAAAGGTAGATTGTTTGCTAGATCTAACAACTCTGTTAGGCCCTGGGCAAACCCCTTCCCCACTAAAATTTACAGTTAATTTTGTCTTATTTTGCTTTACCATTAGGTGAGGTTGGAGGTTAAAATACCATGACTACCCTGGGATGAATGTGGATGGACAGCACCTAAAGTGGTGCAACTTACACTCCTTCATTTTACTCTCAGTTCTTTCAGGGATAATTCTGCAACAGATTGAAGGACTTCATTCCAATTTAGGGGCTTGTCTAATCCATTGCCTTTCTCTTTCCATACACCACTGTAAAGGGCATTTTTGCCTGGGTTGCAACTCTCTGTTTCAGCTCACTAAAACGTACCATTTTTTTCACAGTATTCTGGGAAATCATTTAGTTAAAATGTTTTCATTCAGGTCCTGCATCCTGGACTAGTCCATCAGGTCCAGATGGATCTGTTCCTGATGAAGATGGGCAGCCAGATCATTGAGCTTCTGCCTGGAGTCAAGTGGCTCAGCTTGACTGAAATAGTAGAGGAGTTTGAGAAGCTTATGATTTACCAGGTAGGCATAATTCCATCCTCTTCATACACTGAAACAGAGGTGCTCCCTCCTTTGTCATATATCTACCTATTAATTAACTGCTACCTGCCATTGGAGAGCATTACTGTTCAGCATTACTGCATTCTGGTGGCTAACTCCACTGACAAAACTAGATCATAGAATCATACAAAATTAGGGTTGGAAGGGACCTCAGGAGGTCTTCTAATCCAACTCCCTGCTCAAAGCAATACTATCCCCACTAGATCATCCCAACCAAGGCTTTGTTCTGTCACCTGTCACCACTGAGAACAGGAATCTTTGGACTGTTTGGACCTCCACTGAGGCTCCATCCTCTTTGGGACTCCACTTCAGGTAGTTGAAGGCTGCTATTAAATCCACTCTGTCTCCTCTTCTCTAGACTAAAGCTCAATTCTCTCACCCTCTCTTAAGAAGTCATGTCCCCCAGTCCTCTAACCATTTTTATTGCCCTGCACTGGACTGTCTCCAATTTGTCCATATCCTTTTTGAAGTGAGGAGCCCAAAACTGGACACTCCACATATGGCCTCACCAGTGCTGAATAGAGGGGAGCAATCACTTCCCTTGATCTGCTGGCAACCCAGCTACAAATGCAGCCCAGTATGCTGTTAGGCTTCTTGGCAACAAGGGCACACTGCTGGCTCGTATTCAGTTTATTGTCCATTGTAACCCCCCGGTCCTTTTCGGCAGAGATGCTGCTTAACCAGTCAGCCTGTACTGGTATATGGGATTCTTCCGTCCTCAGTGCAGGACTTTATGCTTGTCCTTATTGAACCTCATGAGGCTTCTTTTGGTCCAATCCTCCAACTTGTCTAGGTCTCTCTGAATTCTAACCCTACCCTCCAACATATCTACTACTTCCCCCAGCTTGGTGTCATCTGCAAACTTGCTGAGGGTGCACTCTATGCCATCTTCCAGGTCACTGATGTAGATACTGAACACAAGCAGCCTCAGAACCAACCCCTGGGGCACTCCACTCAATAGTGCCTGCCAACTAGATATTAAGCCATTGACTACTACCCTCTGAGCCTGGTGATCCAGCTAGTTTTCTATCCACCTTACAGTCCATTCATCCAACCCATACTTCCTTGCGAGAATGTTGTGGAAGACTGCATCAGAAGCCTTGCTAAAGTCAAGGTACACCACATCCACTGGTCTCACCACATCCACAGAGCCAGTTATCTCATCATAGAAGGCAATCAGGTTGGTCAGGCATGGCTTGGCCTTCGTGAATGCATGCTGACTGTTCTTAATCACCTTCTTCTCCTTCAAGTGCTTAGAAATGGATTCCTCAAGGATCTGCCCTTGATCTTTTCAGCAACTTAGGTAAGGCTGACCAGTCTGTAGTTCCCTGGATCCTCCTTTTTCCCTTTCTTAAAGATGGGCACTATATTTGCCCTTTCCCAGTCATCTGGGACCTCTCCCAATTGCCACGAGTTTTCAAAGATGATGGCCAGTGGCTCTGCAATCTCATCAGTCAACTCCTTCATACCCTTGGGTGTATCCCATCCAGCCCCATGGACTTGTATATGTCCAGCTTTTCTAAATAGTCTGCCTGTGAAGACTGAGGTGAAAAAGGCATTGACTACATCAGCCTGTTCTGCATCTTCTGTCACTAGGTTGCCTCTCCCATTTAGTAAGGGATCCACACTTTCCCTGATCTTCCCCTTGTTGCTGACATACTTGTAGAAACCCTTCTTGTTATCTTTCATGTCCCTTGTTAGCTGCAACTCTAATAGTACTTTGGCCTTCCTGACTTCATGCCTGAGCAATACTCATACTCCTCCCTAGTTGTTTGTCCAAGTTTCCACTCCTTGTAAATTTCCTTTTTGTGATTTAGCCTACTGAAAAGTTCCCTGTTCAGCCAAGCTGGTCTTCTCCCATACTTGCTGCTCTTCCTGCACATTGGGATGGTTTGATCCTGCACTCTCAGTAAGGCTTCTTTAAAGTATACCCAGCTCTCTTGGACTCCTCTCCCCCTCAGACTGGCTTTCCAGGGGATCCTGCCCATGAATCCCTGAGTGAGTCTGTCTGCTTTTCTGAAGTCCAAAGTCCGTACTCTGCTGCACTTCTTCCTTTCCTCAGGATCCTGAACTCAGTGATCTCGTGGTCACTGCTGCCCAAGTTGCCATCTACTGCTACATTCCCCACCAATTCTTCCGTGTTTGTGAACAGCAGGTCAAGAAGACCATGGCCCCTATGGCTGCTCCAGAACTTGTACCAGGAAGTTGATCCTAACACTCTCCAGAAACTAAATAGATATGCCAGGGATGTGTTCAGCCCTGAGTTTATAATGGCATCTACTCTGGGGGACCCTGAGAACTGAAAGTATAGTCAGGACTGGAACAGTATCAGACAGGCCAGTCCTCTTTTCCTTTATAAAGTACAGGGAGGAAACCCCCCTGGACAGGGAAAGAGAGCTCACCTAAGAGATGTACCATCTGTTAATTTTTTTTCATTGAGATCCTTGTTTTCAGCTAGTTTTCTGGTTGACTGGGCTTTGTAGGAGTCAGTTGTAAGTCAGTGAGATTATATTTCACGCAGGAACCTCAGTGTATTCCCATCCCTTTAATACTAGGCACATAGACTACATGGCCTTCTCTTGCTTTGCAGACAGACCTACGCTACGAAGCCAAAAACTTGGAGCGCTTCCAACAAAATTTCCTGGGCATGGATTTTGTGAAGTTCCCAACTCCCCTTCACCCCTTTGTGACCAGAAACATCCTGATGGAAACATTTGAGGTAAGAGTACAGCTTCTGGGTGAAGGAGGGTACTGGTACTGGCATTCTCACCTCTGTCACGTATTCCCATCTCAACACAAAACTCCTGTCTAGAGGTGGCATTGGGCTTTTCAGTGGAGCAGCTCTCCTGTGCCCCTCCCATCCTTTTCTAGAGAAGGGAAGTAAGGGAGTACCTCTTTTTGTTATTTGCTTGCATACAACTGAGCCCTTACTTGCTTTATTTTTCTTTCCTATTGTCAAGGTTCCCAGGAGCAGGGGGCAGACAGTCCTAGCTCAGAAGAGAAAAGGGCACTGGGCCTTGGGTACCAGAATAAAACCAGCACTGCCATCCAGCAGCCCTAGGTTTTTCCTACTTCCAGACTAAAGTCTTCTTTCTCTTCTGCTGTTGAACAGGTAGATGGTTGGACCTACAACTTGGTCCAGTCCATAGAAACAAGTATAGCTAGGTTTGTTCAGACCACTTTCAGTCACCGTTAGCTTTAGTCAGCATGTCAATTGTGCCCTGAGTATCTCTTGCCTGCAAGTCTTCCGCATCTGTTTCGCAGACCTCTTCCTTTTGCAGCCTCTCTTTCTTTAAGCCATCTCTTAAGTCAGCTTTGCCTCCAAAAGACCAGCCTAGTACCTCCTTTCAGCTCCGTTCAGCTCATAGAGGCCCCTGTACTATGCAAGTTATTCTCTTAATCGTTTTCTGATCTTCATCCTGTTTGGCTGTCTGGTCTGCTTGGGTCACTGCTAGGTCCTATCACTCTTTGGGTTCCTATCCAACCTTTCCTTTGTTGTATGCAGCCTATAGAGGTTCCTTTCCCAAATGCCTTCCAATCCCAAACATTCCCGAGTTCACCAGCAACAGTAAATACAGTCTGCATTGACTGAGCCCCCTCTGCAGCATTTTGTCCTCCCAAGGGTGAGAGTATATGACCCTGGATTGTATGGATGGGGTAGGGCACATGGGATCTGTTTGCTTCTTGCTTTCTTTAAGGAGAGTGAACCCATCTCCCAGTATCTGCACACAGAAGTTGACCCTGAGCTGAGGCAGAGAATTGCGAAGATGGGTATGGATGTGCTCCTAAAGATGGTAAGAATCTGGGTTGTTAAAATCATGTAATTGGCTTTGGGAGGATATGGCTAAAGAAGAACCCACCTGCTTTCTTCCATGACATCACTGGGTTTCCAAGAGCCAATGAGAACACTGGATGTTAGGGACCTGCTGGTACCATGATATCCAGGATGTCAGGGTGCTGTGCCACTCTGCACTAAATGAAAGCAAATGAATATATACACGTTAAATGCAAGATCCAGGCAGAACATAGACTGGATGCTTGTACCACAGGCACTCTGACAGATCCTCTTCCATAATGAAGGGGAGTCCCTTCAGCATGTGGCAGGGGCACCAGCTGTAACTCAGCAGGTATGTTGCTTTGGGAAACCACAGAATCACATTAATTAATGTTTACCCTTCATCTTACAGCTGTAAAGCAAAATCTGCACCTACTGTTTCTGCAGAAGTTACGGAAAGATTCAAAGCCACAGGGAAATCTGCTAAGCTTCTAGTTTCATTTATCAAAAACACCTCCTGCTGCCATTTTAAGGCAGGTAGAAGACTAAATCTGGAGCAGAGAAAATTAATCTAGCCAGCTCTTGCTTCTAATTCAACTTACTTTCCTTGGTTTTATGCTGAATTGTATTGTAGTTATTAGCTCAGCCTAGCCTTTGCTGTCCTAACTGGTGGGAATTTGCAAGGAGAAGCCTGATTTCTCTCCAGTTAGGGCTTGTTTTCGTACCACTGAAAACAAGCTCTCTCTGACCCATAGCCATCCTTGACCTATAGTACATATATAGTGCTTGCAGCTTTGCTCTTGCACCTAGTGCTTTACCAGCAGTGCTCCAACCTCAGCACTTGTCTCTCAGGAGCTGGAGAGACTCGAAGTACCAGTCTGTAGTGGTTTTGTGATGCGAGTCAGTGTACCAAGGGGACAAGACTAGAAACCACCTAACTAATGCCGCATACCATCTAGCTTGGTTTTGAACCCTGGCCCCCCACTATAGAAAGTTTTATTTGAATTACCTTGCCATTCTTTTCATGTCATACCTCTTCTTCCTCCTCCAGGTGTTTGTTGATAATTTTGTCCATGCTGACTTGCATCCTGGGAACATACTGGTTCAGGGTGCAAAGCATTTTGGTGCTACCCGCAGGGATCAAACCACTATCGTGGACATGTGTGACACACTCATCGTAGAAGTACAACCTTCCCTTTGTCAGCTTCGTCTGGTGCTGCTGGATGCAGGGGTTGTGGCAGAGCTGCAGGAAGCTGATCTGCAGAACTTCAGGGCAGTCTTCACCGCTGTGGTGCAGGGACAGGTGAGGCCTGCTTTGCCAGGGGAGGGACTTTAGACTCTTGAAGCTCATCTTGGTGGGGCGGGAAGCAGCACTGGAGGTTCTCATGATCTTGGAGCTGACTGTAGTCTGCTTTTCTTCAGTTGCCCATGCAAGTCCCATTATGGTTTCCTAGGAGGAGGGGAGGGGGGAGGTGGCTACCTCTCACACATTTGCTGTAAATCGTATCAAGCACAAAAACAAAAATGCTGGCGAGAAGGAAGTAGGTTACCCTGGTCTGTTGTGAGCAAGTTTAACTAGCACAGAAGAATGAAAGGCTGGATTTAGAGGCCAGGGGATGGCTGCTATTCCCTGGGTTAAAGTTACCAACATGGGCCCAAGTGTGGTTTGCTTGGGAGTAGCTTTTGTGCTTGGTATAAAGCCTGCAGCATGTTGCTGGAACAGCTGATCAGCTGCAGTGGAGCTTTCCTATACCAGGCTTGTTGCGTTTGTCCAAGGCAGTCACAAATGGGTGACTCCGGCCACAGGTGCGGGAAAAAGTATTGCCAGTCTGGCAGGCACAGAATGTATTGTAAACATGCAGTAAAAAGTATCAAGGCACTGACATTAGCAAATTCAACACATTCATATGTCTTACAACATCCGTCCTTCCACACCCGGAACTAGAAGCACCCGCAACACACTGACCCTCCCTTTTCTCCCACTGGGAACTGTGGAGAGCAACCAGCAAGGAAAGCAGCTGATCTGTCTCTGCCAGATTTCCACCAGGTGAGAGTTCTTTGGTGCAGGGGGAATTCTACAGTGGTCACCTCCAGCTACTTCCAGTCTCCTTTGTACTACTGACCTCTCTGGTTTGCTGAAAAAACAGGTCCAGCACTCACCATGTCCTGTTGCTGTGTCTCAGCTCTGAGCAAGACAGCCCACCCATAGGCAAGTAGTTAAACTCCATTGCTTGCAGTCATTGCCAACTGCAGTAAATACTCTAGTGAACATCTATACTGAGATCAACAAAAAAACTTTCTTCAAATGCTGAGCAGCCTTACAATGGAACTGTTTTCAGTAACTAGGAGCACAAACTGCTTTTGAACCGATGACCTACAGGTGACCAGCTTTTATACTTTGTCTCCTCACCAGACCTTGGATTAAGTGTCATGGCCCTGCTGGCCCTTTAAATTAGTTCCATGCAGCTCTGCTAGACTAACCACAAAGCCCCTCAGATCAACAAAACCTAGAAAACCTTCACAAGAAAACCTCCTTTTCTGCCCAGGCAGAGGTAGAAATCTGCTGGGCGGGCAGGGTGGAGGGAGGAGAGAGGAGATTATCTTACTGTTCCTCCACAGTTTAGAAAGAGAATTTTATTCATTCTAGCCTGAGATGGCAGCCAACAGCTCTCTTCTCACCGGCACCAATGTCTTGGTCTCCTAACTGTGATAGAAAAGACAGTGTGTGCCCAGATGAATTGCAAAGGGATTCCTGCTGTACTTTGCACTACAAGATGGTGTCAGGAGGAACAGGTCTTCAGAAGGAACAGTATCCTGGGCTGGTCTCAGATACCAGGGGTTATGCTGCAGCCATTTCGGCTCTGTCTTCATTGATCTTTTGTTACATCTTAGGTCTCTTTGCCTCAGAACTCTGGAAACAGGGTAACTTAACTTTCCAGCTCTCCATCTCACCCAGCTCTAAAAGGCATGTATACCGTTTCAAGAAGCAGTTGAATGGCTGCAGCTGTCTGGAAACCCTACAGTAGGAGCACTGTATAGCTACATGCAAGCTTGGTGGTATTACCAAGGCCTGGTTCTGTTCCCCACATTTCCTTTAACTTGATTCACAGGGGGAGAGAGTGGGAGAGCTGATCCTTCACCATGCTCGGGCTAACCAGTGTAAGGACATAGAGAGATTCAAAGCTGAAATGGCAGAGCTGGTGACCAAGGCCAGGATGAACACCGTAGCCCTGGGAAAGGTGAGCAAACTAATGATGGTATCCAGCTCATGACAACCTGTTTTTAACTGCATCTGCCCCTTTAGACTAGCACAGCTTGAAAGGCCAGCCATTTAACCATCAGTTAGTTCATCAGTCACCTCCCTTGCCAGTGCTACCAAATCCCTCAACTCTGGTTTCACAGCAGGAGAAAAACATAATTAAGGTCCCTGATCCTCTTCTTTCCTTCTGATTGGGATAGGGTTGGCTCTTGGGGGTCCTTCACTCTTGCTGGAGCCTTGAGGTTCATATCATAACCTGCATCCTGTTGACTCTCTTTGAAGTCCACAGTAATGCTCCAGAGGGGCTGCTGTTGAACACAGATGTGTTTCTGCTGACCAAAGGGACTGCATATACTCTCCTCAGCTTTCCCAGCATCTTCCTGGGTTAGGAGTGAAGACTTCAGAGGCACAGGTGGAGTTTCATCTGTCACTCTCTGTATTGCTTACCACCAGGGAATGATACCAGCTTTTATGACAGTGACTGTCAGTTAAGCACAGGAATATTGTGCAATAAGCACCAAGTAATGAAATCTAACATTTAAGTTTGTAGATTCTGAATTGATCAGGCAGATTCCTTCTAGCTTACTGCCTGTGGTGAATCACTGCCATTCTGGCTGACACTGGTTTTTATGATATCCTGCCAGCCAAGGTAACTTTTATTTTTTTAACTTCATATTCCAGCTTCAAGTGACAAATCTGCTTTCCAACGTCTTTAAGTTACTGATGATCCACAAGGTGAGGCTCTCTTTGTTCCCTTCACTGCATGCTTTGATGTTTGGAAGAAGCACATCTGGGGAGGGAGAGTGATTGGGATGATAAAGGTCTGAGGCAAGGCAGGGAGTATCTAAAATATGTGGGGTCAGGGTGGGTGGGGCTGCATGTGCTGTATTTCCAAGCAGTACAGGCAGAGTGCTTCTCTGGACTGGAACCAAGCCCACTGAAACCGTTGGGAGTTGCCCCCATCCTTTCAGTGGGCTGTGTATCATCAGGGCCTACCAATATCTGGTATCAAGATTGATATCAGATCATACAGGGAGACGATCAGAATCTCATTTATATTCTCCCTTCCTGTCCATAGCTTCTTCAGAAGCTTGAGATTAAAATATTCTCATGCACTTGTATTACTTGCTTTCTTCCATGTGCTCGTTGCTTTTCTGCTAGGGTGACCAAAGGAGTGCTGGGCTCCACTTGCTCGGGTAGCAGGTGATGAGATGCTCACGCTGCCTTTAGAGAAGAATAAAATCTCCCTTTGTTATAGGAAGTCACTTCATGGGACAGACCCTTGGCTGGTGTAAATTGTCATAATGGTGCTGAAGTCAGTAGAGCCACCAGTTTCCACCATCAGAGGATCTGCCTCATGGGCTTTGCAAGGAGCAGATCAAAAGACTGTAGAGTCTCTCATAAACTCCCTATTTCCGTCCATTGTATGTTAAATGCCATTAACCTTCAGTAACATTAAACATTATTAAAACCCTCCTGCTCGCTACTCAGTCTATACACAAAACCCTGTGAATGGTGGTACTTACAGCAGTTTTGTTATATGGCTAGGGGGTAAGATGTAGGCAGCCTGTATGTGAAGTAGGTTCTGCTTCTCCTGTGAACTGTGAAGCTGTGCTCCCTGGGACTCCATCTGTAGTATGGGGAGGGGAGAGGAGGGGGAGCAAATTCCCTTTCCTTTGCAAATATGCATTCATGGGCCAGGGATGCTTCTGCAGCCTTGCAACTGCAGGCAGAGGCTGGCATTTCTAGGGCCCGTGACCAAAGAGAGGAAACATGCTGCTCTCCTAAATAAAGAAAAGCATAGGCTGGCCTTGCACAGTCCTTTGAAAGTGCCTGCTTCTTCTCAGACCTCCTGCTGAATTTCAGCTATGATGCCTTGAAGTGAAAGATGAATGAGTGAGCCCCCATGTTGCAGTATTGCAGCATGCATATGTCATCCCAAAAGCCTGACTACAAGGGGTGTCCCACTTGTAAGGGGTCTGGAAAGCACGAAGTGCGCAATGCATTATAATCTTTGCATTTATGATTTTAGGTGAAGCTTGAGAGCAACTTTGCTTCGGTTGTCTTTGCCATCATGGTTTTGGAAGGGCTTGGTCGCTCGCTGGACCCCAAACTGGATATCTTGGAGGAGGCTAAGCCACTTCTCATCAAAACAGCAGCAGCTCTCTTAAAATAGCAGTGACCACTGGAGTTGGTGTTCCACTGTTGGGCTTTTTGGCAAGGAAGTGCCTATTCTTTTTGTCAGCAGAGGGGAAAGGAACCTGAAGTTGGAGTTGCTGCATGGCTGGTCAAGACTGAGAGCAAGTTTTAAGGGAACATAACCCATTGCTTCTCACCAGAGATTTGAGAGGTGAGTGGCTATGTCGTAGTGTCAAAGACACTGTCAGGTAGTCTAGATCCCCAAGGCTGAGGCAAATCATCTGCATTCTGAAAATAATTTGAAGTGTTTAGAGACTTCCGCTGTGTTTGTGAACTGAAAAACAAACCAGAAGGACCCCACTCTAGTGGAACAAAACAACGTGTGAACTTCTGTTGATTCTGCAGATGTCTGCAGCTGCCCCAAAGCTATGGCAAGATCAGGCTACAGAGGCAGGTCAGTTTTTGTTTCATGGAAATGCCAGGGAACAGGATCAGACGTTGTTAGAAAGGGACAGAAACTTTCTTTTTAGGCTTTGAAAAAATAGAAATCACATAAATATTTCTGAGCATAGCAGATATGCTTCTCATTCTTCTTGGAACCCGATGATCACCCTCTGTTCTGTTGCTGGCAGCAGAATGCATCCCAGTTACTGCAGGTATGCTTATACATAGTGTATAAGCTCAGCCTTGTTTCCACAAGCACCAGCAGGATTCAGATTACAGCCAGCAAGGAAAAGAAACAGTTGCTGAATTCTGATGAGTAGGGTCCTGTGCTTGCTGCTGACTTAATGGGTACAGGATCAAACTCTACTGGTTAGTGCGAATAGCATTGGGCCAGGACAGCAGAGAAGACCGAGACTGCCACTACAATAAGCTAAATAGTAATGGGGATTTGGTTTGATCTTCCTATTTTGATAGTATTTGTTTTTAAAAATGAGTTTCCTAACATTACTTGAATATTATTCAGTCCTTTCTATAGAATAAATGCTGGGAGTGGGCTTTTTTTTTTTTTTAATATAATTTTCTTGAAAGAATAAAAGCTCCTGGGAAGGGTACAAGTTACATGCATTTTCATCATTCTTCTTCTGGGTGACATTTTTGAGTAGTTGATCATGTAAGTACAGTTGCATGGAACATGATTTCCAAAAATGTTGTTGCTTCTGAACCTGGGAATGAAACTGCCACCAGTAGGAAGCTGCTTATTTTTACAAGATACAGCATAACAACATGTACAAATGATGCGGAGATCCAGCTGCCTGTTCTGTAGTCCATTTTTATACTAAAATATCTGGAGAATTTTTTTTCATTCTGCTTCCCTTGTAGATCCGAGTTACCAGAATAATATTGATACTTCATGACTGTGTTAAGTGCAAGTAATCTGATTATTTTAAAAGGAGAGAAGTGTTAAACTACTATCTGTTAATTTTATGAATAACCTATCATTTCTGGTATGAGCAGTAGTACCCTGGCACCTAAGATGGTTACACAGTCCTAGTTTTATTTACACTTGTTCTGGCACTGCAACTGAAATCTGAAGAACCAATGTAATTTCCACTGTCTTTCACTTGTTCTTACATTTGTTTGTGTCCCCAAAGTGCCCTAAAATCCCAGTCAGGAGTGGGGTGTCCCTGCTTCTTTGGGACAATGAGAAAAAGATTAGTGTGGTGATTCTCAACCAGGCAGTTGCAACATCATGGGCTGCTCTGAGATCATGTCAAGGATGCTATGGGGTGTCACACAGTGTTAGCACCATTAGGTGTGCTAACATAATTCATGACAGAAACCAAGAGATTTCAAATAGGAATCCACTGTGTCAAAAACATCCTGCCCTGTCATGGTCTTTCTGAGTTCTCTGCAACAGAAGAGTTGTTCTGTTATTTTTTCCATAGTCAAAAATGGGTGAAAACTAAGAGCTGGCACTTTCCAAGGGGTGCCCTGAGTCTAAAATGGTTAAAAACAATTAGACTAGTCAATTTTACTTTCAGAGTCACTTTCTCAATGTTGCAGAAGTTTGGGCAATAAATAATAACAGGAGATATTTGTCTTAAAGAAAAGCTGGTTCTACAATAAAAACATGATTTTGAAAACATGTCTAATAGTTTTATATTATGTTAAACTTTTTTCCCATAAAATTCAAGAGGACTGAACTTCAGTTAATTTTCAATTAGTAGTACGCAAATAATTGCTTTCACCTCCGATTGTTTGCACTAATGGCTAGAAGATTTATTGTGAATTTTTCAAGCTACCACATATGGACTATAAGAGAGAGTAACTCAGTTATCTGGTTTAGTATTAAGAAATATTTTTCAGCCTTATTTTAAGAGCGATATGCACAATCCACAGAGAGTAGCAAATAGAATAATATACCAACAAATATTTCCTAGTATGTCTTGAATGAAGTTTTAGTAATGCTGTACTTTTATTTAGAGTTCTGCTGTTGAATCTTTGAGTAATAAACAAAGGCTGCATGTGTGGGTAATCTGCCAGTTATTTTCTGAGGACTATGAAGCACAGTGTAGCATGCATAAATTTAGAAAAAACAAGCTACCTGCTCTATGTATGCAACTGCTCTATGTATTTCACGTTTTCTTCCATAAACAATATATATATTGAAACTCCAAATAATCAGAGGGTAAATTTTTTTTTTAAACTATTTTAAAGCCTTGTCTTAGTACTAGAAATGTATTACACCATGAGTTTCAGACTCATCTTTGCTACTAACATTTTGGTAGGTAAACTAATAAGGTCTTTTAGTTAGCCAAAAATGTGACTGTTTATTGAATTATTCTCATGAAGCCACTTCTCTCTCTTACTATAAGGGAGATTTAGGTTGAATATTAGGAAAAGTAAGGATAGTTAAGAACTGGAATATATTACCTATGATGGTTATAGAATTTGTGTCACAGGAGGTTTTTAAAGACAGAAAAGACTAATATCTGTCATGAATAGTTTAACTGTAGTTGTTTCTACCCTTGAGGACTCAGTGGTTCTCAACCTTTTTCTAATGGGACCCTTTTGCAAAGATCAATGGCTTGTCCCGCCCCCACCTAACCTGGACCTTCCTGGTGCCCCTTATTCCCACCCTGCCCGAGGGAGCTCCCAGCTGCCCCCATCCCACTGTTGCTGGAACGTGGTGTCTGCAGCAGCTTTGGTTCATGTGGGCAGCAATTGAGTGAGGCTGGAGGGAGGAGGAGGGGAGCCCTGTGGCACCTGCTGCCCTGGGCTGGGGCTCCTGCACTGCACCAGGCAGTCTGGTTGTGACCCTTCTTGCCCCTGGGCAGCCTCTCCTGCCCGCTCCACCCCTGCAAGTACAGGCAGTGGTGCCGCCAGCCCAGCCATGCAGCTCCCTGCCCCCTTCCCTTGGGGGAGGGGCAGGCACCTCCCCTCCCCACCCCTCTCCCCTGCTGCAATGTCAGTGCTCAGCCAGCTTCCCCCAGCACCAGTAAGCACCCCGCCCCCCCCCAAACACACACAGACTCCAAGCACTGGCACTCCAACCCCCATTCCCCATACACGTATGTGCACCCAGCTGCTGGGGCTGCTCCCAGACCCTGCCTGGCTGTGTGCTGCTACATGTGTGCACACATGCAGATACAGCTGTGCCCACTGCCTCCAATCACCCCAAACAGCCCCTAGCAGGCTGGAATGCTGCCAGCCTGCAAGAGGAAACCCATGCTTTCCTGTGTTTTTCTGGGACTTGCTCACAACCGTTTAAAATATTGCTGCGACCCACTTTTGGATCATGACCCATGGGTTGAGAAATGCTGGACTACATGATGTCTCAAGATCCCTTCTGGGCCCGTTTTTAATTATTTTTATATGCCCTCACATGAAGTGTACTTTGGCCAGCTTACTTTACGGTAAAACTTAAGTGCCTTGCCTTCAACTGGTTTTATTACTTACAACATACAGACATTTTAGTAATGAAGACAAGGCTCAAAACACAGGCAACCTGACATCAATTCCAAAAAAGGCCAGTGGCCAAACACTTTAACCTCCCTGGCTATTCCATCACTGACCTTAGAGTAAACGTTCTTAAATAACAAAACTTTAAAAACCAACCTGAATGCAAAAATTGCAAAACAAGAAATAATCCACAGGTTGGATTGTGTTAAGTATGGTCTCAACAGAGACTCTGGATTCTTATGCCATTACTTGGACTAGCTTTCATAGCCCGTATCCCTCAGTAGTTTAACTGCTTTGTTTATCCCCTTTGATCTCTTCAACTCACTTCTCTCAGTAGCACCCACTCCTTTCTTCCCCTTTCCCTATCCTTTGTATTTAAATTATCTTACTCCTTTCTATGTAGTACCCCTGCTCTCTGCAAGTCCATTCATAGCATCTGAAGTAGGCTAGAAAAGCTTACGGATCTCTGAATAAGTTAGTTGCTCAGGGCACATCCAGATGAGTTCAGATATGCAGTATGTGGTACTTAAGACCCATCTGTGGCACCACACATCACACATGCTGCACGTGCAGGCATTCCTTGCCCTGGAGATCCCGGGGTAACAAAAAACCCCACACCAAAAAAAGCAGGGCAGCACATGTGGGAGCAGTGTATGCCACCCAAAACTGGAGCCTGGGCAGCCAAAGCTACACTCTGGCTGCTAGCCAGGCTTCTTGCTGCAGACTCAGTGCAGCTACAGCTCCCCGAGGCCCCCCAGACCCTAGATAAGGCTGCTGGAGCCAGCACAGTTGCTTGCCCCAGCCTCCCCTACCCCACCAGGGTAATGTGCTGAGTTCCAAAGCTCTGATCTCTTGTACAGACTCCTTTCTGCCTCTGCACCAATCCTGGTAACAAGCAGTCCAGCTTACTCACATACCGTGCTTCCACCAACTGTCTTGTTTGCAAGTGTCCTCTTGACTGGGAGGAGAAACTTCAAGGTAGTTTGTGCTGAATGCTGCAGGTTGGACACTGACACCTCACTGTGCCATGTGAATTAAGCTATTTCTATGACCACAAACTTTATGCACAACTCTTCCCTGACTTCCCCTTTTTCAGGGCTCTCACAGGATACCATGCCACTATAGCACGTGCACTGGGAAGAATGCCTCACAAGTCCAGGCAGCAGACAAGCTGAAAAGCCCCCAGCTGGCCCTTGTTAGCTGAGCAGGCCAGGCTGTCAGCAGCTTAACTGCTTCCAGGTGGCCCCAGTTGCCTGCATGGGTGTGTCTGCCTGCTTATAAAAGCAGCTCTTGTGTGCTCAACAGCTTAGTTTCTGCCTACCCTCAAGCATCTGACTTCTTGTTCTTAGGGTTCTGCATACTGATTCCTAGTTTCCTGGTTCCTTCCTGCTGACTCCTTATTCCAGACCAGACACCCATCTTTCAACAGCTAGCTCCAGTCTGCTGATCACATATGTCCCAGTCCTTTATACCTACAGCTGCCTGCTCTAGACCCCCTGACTCGTGACTCTGGTCTGGACCTTGTCAAGCCCCAGTGACCCATGTCCTAGTTGTACCCCTGATAGAATGCCATACGACTGCCTTTCCTATTCTACAGGCTTCTTGTGTATTAAACACACTTTAGTAACCTTGTGCAGAAGAAAAGTGCTCTCAGTCTTCTGTTCCATAAGGAGCAGAAAAACACTTAGCAGGCTTATTCTTCTGCCAGTCCAGGACTATCCCCAACAATACAACCCAATACTTTTAAATGGGTATTGGGGGGGGGGAGGGTTGTGACTTCCATCTGTCTCCTGGGACAGTTAACCAGCCTGCTAACTCTCCCTTTCACGAAGCTTCTCCAGACTTTTTTTTGCCTTGATTGTTTGTCTTTCCCCCTCCCTAGTCCTAACCCATACCCCTTTTACTAGCATACAGCATTTTGTCCCTCTGGGTTTGTAGCTTGAAAGTACTTACAGCCTGATGTCCCCTTGCCTGGTAGTAGTATGCTTTGTGTTCTTTGTCTCCTATATGAGTTAGTCCTAAAACCCTTCTGCCATTTTGCTGTTCTTCTCTGAACTCCCTCAGTTGGTTTATATCTTCTTGGCACTAAAGAGTTCAGAAGACAGCGCAGCAGGTCTAGTCTCAGTGGTCTTCTATAGGAGACAGCCTGTCATCTTTCTGCTCCCTGGCTGGACGGTTCTGTCAGAAACTCAACAGAGCTGGATTTTTTGTCCTGGCACATCACAATGCAAACATCTTTGATGCATGTTATATCTCATCTCTATTCTAGATTGTGTCCACCTCCCAAGTCACTACATATTTAGCATGTAAGACAAAATAGAAACCAGCCAGCAGTTTTACTGACCTGACTGTCTTCACAGCAGATAGATTCACCTCTCCAACAAGAAAGGTTTGTGAGGGACGGGTACCTGCAAATAGACTCTGGCTATGCTCAAGAGGAGATATAAATATTTCCAAGAATGACTGTCATCTGTTTCTCATCACTGCATTATAACTCAGGCCCAGTACATTGGTTCACATCTACAACATATATAGCAGACGTGAGATAGTGCTCAGGGGACTGATTACCTGCACTGCAGCCTTTTTACAACAGCAAGGAGGCACGGAGCATCAAAAGGCTCTGCTCCCTGAGGTACTGCTGGAGGTCCTGATGTTTTTGGCATTCCTTTTCCAGTCTCTGATGCAACTGGTCCCGCTTTTGGAATGCTCTCCATTTGGTAACCTCATGCTTTCTCTGCTGAGCGTGCTGCTCCTGTAATTCTTGTTTCAAGATCTCCTGTTGGGACTGCCTTCTGGTCCTGAGCAAATCCTACAGAAAAATAAGTGAAAGGATGTTCAAAGTCCTACTCATGCTCTCATGCAGAAGTCCTGTCCACCCTGTGCCTGTTACTGGGAAAAAGTGGGACGGGGTAGCTGTGAATTTGCCAGCCAGCAGCTTGTATGCTGTTCCCTCCATGATCTCTTGTGGAAAGTTGGTATCAGCAGAGTCTGTATGTTACAGAGACACGGACTGTCTTACTTTTCCCATGTGGACTTGTCTCATTTTTCATCAGTTTGCACACATTAAAAATCAGGTTATACAAGTATCTCCGAATGATATTGCTAAGTTAGACAGCAACAGGGAGCTACAAAGAGTCCAAGAAAAGCATTCATGAAACAGCCCTCACCTGTCTCTTTTTGTTGTGGTCAGAGATCCTGTCATTGTATTCTGCCAGAATTTTCTCTCTCTGCAGACGCTGTGCCTTTAGGAACTGCAGCCTTTGAGTCTCCTTTTTTTTCTCCTCCTCTTGCAGAGAGGATTCCTTTCTGTTCCTCTCTGCCCTGGCAGCTTGGAGCTGTACCATGTGCTGGCAGGCCTGCTCATTGTGCTCCAGCTGCTTCTCCAACCCTTGCAACATTCTCTGAAGAGATCTCTGCCTGTTTCCAAAAGTATATTTCCAAAACAACTCAGAAAGAAGAACAAAGGCAAGAGACTATCCCCAGGTGTGTCAATGGCTGAGATACAAACCAGAGGTCCTGACTGTGTGGCCATTAAAAGTACTGTGCCACTTTCTGAAAGGTTTTGGAAGTCCTGGCCAAACTCCTGCTCATAATTAGTATGGATGGTTGAAAATGAGCAATAATTCACTTGCCTGCATTTTCATGAGGCTGAATTTTTCAACTGCACAGCTATTACTAGTTATTATGTTTTGTTTCCTTCTATTCACTTGGCATTTTCAGGCCCATATGGAATTATGCTTTGCTTCCCATTGAAGGGTGCTGTATGTTCATAGGCTTTATCTAAACAAGCTCTGCCAGTGGACAGCACCCACCACAGGAAAAGGCACAAGGACATATTTAAATCCATGAGGCTTCTCCCAGATCCACCTGGCTCCACTAAATAGCTGCTGGCAGGGCATGCAGTGAACCTTGGGAAGACACCAGCTGATGAAAGCATCACAGCAGCCAGTGGAAGGCATAAGTACACATGCCTCTGCCAATTGGTGGGCATCAGCAGAAACCTTCTTTTAGGCAGAAAGCTGATGTTGCTCTGCCAGCAGAAAAGAGGGGTTCTGCTGTCACAAGGGAGCTGTAAGTGTTGAACAGAAGTACTAACCACAAAACTATGTAGTATAGCTCAGACCTTGGTAAAGGGGCCCCTAACCTGCAGCACAAAGCCATAAGTATTTTAATGTAAAATAGAGCTACATCCTGAGACTCCAATTCCCAGAATATGCTGTTCTTTCTTGATCACTATACACTGATATCAGATCAAGATAGAGCACATGCTGGGAAATGTCTGCACCACTATATTAAAGATGAGGGCAGCCACAATCTGGTCTAGTGTATACAGCCAGATGCTGGTATCACCGGCCGGTTGCTCATGCAGTCTCCTCAGCTGGGCATAATTTTTATTCTTCTGCTTCTAAAATACATAAAGTTTCAGTTTACAAGATCCTTCTGATTTCTTGACCTGCTACTAGGAATCTATCAGTCAAAAAACAAAGAAAAGCTTAAACTCCAGGTGGTGGGAGAAGGAGGTGGAAAGGATGCCTAAACATAACCATAACATCTGAAATAAACTATCTGGTGTTTTGCTCCAATATTCTGAGTGCCCTCCATTCCCACTGAGGTGTATGAAAGTAGAGGGCTTTCAGCATTTATCAGGATCAGTCTTTTAAGAAAGCAACTGTGATCAACACTCAGCTAATAGCATAATGGGCAATAAAGACAGAGAGAGGGTATCAGAACATAAGCTCAGGAAGCATATATTACTGAATATCTCATGCTGGGTTGTAAAGGGCTGGATGATGCTTAGGAGCTGCTGAAGTCTCCCCTCTATTCCTCCAGCTCCTCTCTGACCTTGGAGATCCTTACCTGCGGCTGTCCTGCAGCAGCTGGCGTCTCAGGCCTTCTGCCAGTTGTTGTTGCTCCCTCTTTACCTGCCTCTGCTTCTCTTGCTGCCTTTTGTGCTCAATCCTGGCTGCATCGAAGTTTGCCTCTCTCAGGCTCTCTTCAGTTGCATTGGTAATTGCAGATTTCTGAAACAAAAAATTGTGTATAACAGTAATATATTTTTCGACAGTGAACTCAAGTCCTGTAAGATCAGAAAGGTTTGGCCTTCTGACATTGTTTCCAAGCACTGGGAGCTTTGGGTACCTACCCATGTGCTGGGCATCTGCTCCAATGCACACTAATTAGCATGCATTGGAACAGACTCTGTTAGCCAAGTCTGCTGGAGCTTGCTAATTAGCACGTTCCAGCAGCCTCTGCATCACATGTATTCAGCACTCCCACACTTCAAAATGGTGGTGGGGGCGCTTTAACTAGAGCTTGTTCAATACATGTGACACTGTGGGTGCTGAAGCTAGAGTGACTCTTGGACGCTTGGAGCCGCTCTAATTAAAGTGCCGCATCCCTCCATCCTGGAGCATGTGTAAAGACATTCTTTCTGATTTGTATCATGGTGTCACTTCCCAACATGGAGAAAAATGAGGCTGTTGCTGGCATAAAGCAGCACAATTTACCTCAGGAGGACTACCCCACTATGGTATGACCATTCATTACTGCAGAGATAAGGCTGGGGTACCTCAGTGTCCAGTCAAGAGAGTGTGGCCAGGGACCTCAGGGCACAGCTGAGGTTTTGCTCTTCTCTTGGCAATTGGCACAAACTACAGAAATGCTCAAACTGTTTAATATATGCTGGTGTGAAGCTAGAGGATAAGAAGAGCTGATTGCATCTAAGACACTGGGAGAGTGAATTAAAAGTCAACCATGCAAAAGTGTCAACTCACCTTTCACTGAAACTCAGCTAATCAGAGATGAGACTTCTGTATTTCTAATCAGGATCTTATAAAAATAACCTTTCAGGAAATTAGCTTAAAGGTCTTTGCGTCACAAGTTAGCCTTGAATTTATTCAACTGATTTAAAAGGCCTTGCTTTATTCTAAGAATACTTTTGGTTCTTCTAACCTGCACAGTTGGAGAGCTGTGGGGTCTCCGCACACACAGGGCAGATTCAATAGTCAAGCGGTCTTTCTTTAGAGACTGATCCACTCGGTGAAACCAAGCTTGGCGACCAGAAGTGCTGAAAGCATGGACTTTAGTGGAAGGGTTTGTTTGGGATTGCTGGGCTGGACCTTCTGCAATTCTGGACTGTAAAAGACCTTTCAGACACATCAGAAATATAACAATTACACGCTTTAGGAAAAGTGGACAAGCAGAAGGAAAAATCTATTCACCTAAAAATTATAAATACTAACTTTTCTCTTCAAGGAAGTGAGATCTTTTCAATGACCAAAAAAACAAGTCACCACTTTAAAAAAAATTGCTAACATAGGCAAGCATGAGTTTTTACTCAGGATTCAACTGACTATTCACTATGCTCACAGACAAGAGTTGCTGTAGGGAATAGGGCTGCAATACTGGCTGTTAGGGCATATACATTTTTGCTATTCCACTTTCAGACTCTCTTGGTAAGAGACCTGATAGAGAGTGGGCAAAGGCAATAGCAGTTTGGTGAGGCTGCAGAAGGCTTTCAGCCTATTGGTCTACAGCCAAGTGCCTGCGTATTTTACAAATCTATTTTAGATGAAGAAGGCACTGATCTTAATTAAAGGATCTTAATTAAAAGGTATTTTAGATTATGAACCAGTCCGTTTTTATATATGAGACCAAAGGCTTACATAATGTCATTAAAAAGTAGTAATCACAGTGCATATAAGAGGACAGACAGAATATAGTCAATCTGTGCAATGCTTTGCCACAGGCATTCAAGTCAAATAAAGCAGATGGATTTTATAAAGGCAAGGGTAATCTCAAGACTAATAACATTAGCAGTGAATGATAAGATAAAAGTAATCAAAGCTCTTGCTTCAGGGCACATAGTGGCAGCTGAAGGAGCCAGAAAGGATTTTTTCATGTCTGAGAGAAGGATGAGCAATCACCAAAATGCACAACCAGTTGAACCTATATATAATAGAACACAATTGGCCAGGTTCATTGCAGCATTTTCTCATCTTCCTTTGAAATGCCAGGCCTTCAATGCTGCCAGAGAAAAGAGACAAAACATGACAGCCTAATGCTCTGATCTGGACAGGCAAGTCTCAAGTCTGTGTGCAACTGCTAACTGATATAGTTTCAATACCTGGATCATTCTTAAAATGAGCCTCAGGGTCAGCCTCATGGTACTTCTTGCCTTCTCTGTCTTTGTGCATTAACTCCATTAGGCAGCTGTCTGTGTTGACAGCCATATCAACTCTGGCACGGTTCAACTCCTGAGGGTTTTGGAAACAGAAAGAAACATTACCAAAATCCTGAACTGGTGAGGAAAAAAAAGGTGTCAGTAACAGGAATTTGCACAACAAGCTACTTTATCATTTTGCCTTTACCACACTAATTCCATCTTTAGTAGGGGTGTGCAAAGTGGGCCCTATTCGATTCAGATTCGGCCTGAATCAGGGACAGCAATCTGAGTAGTTGATTTGGATTACTGTGCCTGATTCGATTCGGCCAAATCTGAATCTGAAGATTCAATGCTGATTTGGAGAATCAGCAATTCAGATATAGACACAACTATAAAAGTTTTTTCAACATACCTTGAGGTAGCAGGCGTGGCTCATGATCACTGCGATGCTGGGGCGCATGGAGTGTCCCACAGGAGTGCGGCGGGGGGCCCTCCATGTGCTTGGTGATGAATCCAGAAGTGGACTGGAACTACTTCGGCTGTGGGGAGACCTCAGATGACCGCCCCCAGACCCAGAAAGCATCAGTCACCGAGCCAGGGAGGCATGGGGGGGGGCCCTCTTGCATGCTCCCCAGTGGACGCGGAAGTGGACCAGAAGTGCTTCTGGTCCACTTCCGGGTCTGCTACCAAGTGCACTGAGGAGCCCCCCGCACTCCTGTAGGACACTCCATGCACCTCAGCATTGCAGCACTCAGGAGCCCCTGCTACCTAGAGGTATGTAGAAAAAACATTTAAAGTTGTCTCTAGATGTCCAAATCTTCAAATCTTTCTGAATCTCTCTCAGTCGATTCGGAGGATTCCGATTCAGTTCAAAGATTTGGCCACCAAATAAGGACACATCTCTGCCAAATCAAATCAGGGACTGAAGCTTTGCACAGCCCTATTCTTGGCTATGCAAAGCCAAACCAGACTTGGCTGACACTTGTTGAATGACTGGTCAGCCTTTCAGTTACAGGAAAAATGTTGCCTTCATGTGACGAACAACCACTGCCAAGACAGTAGTGATGAACTACAAACCAAACTTTCTAATGAAACTGCGGTTTAAGAAAGAAAAGAAGACGAATAATGAAATAACTGAATCCTTTAAATATGTAGTTGTTATCTGGTTCCTAGGCTTATCTGCCTTCCAAAATTACCCCACACCTGGCAGTGTTTTGAGTCCCTGGCAGGGACTCAAATTACAGGAGCAGGCTGGGATTGGGGTTTAATGGCAGAACTAGAATAACAGAAGGTGCTGTGGTTCAAGTCTGAGAAGCCTGGAGTTTGCTTGTATGCAGCGTACCTCTTCCTAATGGCATTTTGCCCTTCTGAATTAAACAGAAAAGAGCATTGTTCATTATTAGGTTGAAAAATCCCAGGGGATAGATACTGAGCATAAACTGTTATAGCTCAAGTGATTTCAAATTATAACTTGTGTTATAAAAGAAAGCAGACTAAAAGATCACAGTGGCTCCTTCTGCCCTCAGAAAGCTGTGAAAGGAGCTACGACAATTTATACCAACTCAGGATCTGCTCCTGAGACTTAAACTAAAAAGAAAATAAAAACCCAGAGTGCTTAAGGCTGTTTAGAATTATGGGAGTGCTTATATATGAAAAAAAAAATCTTCAGCTAACTTTAGCCTTAGTGATCTTTGATGGACCAATTAGTTAAAGCTAAAGAGGCTCATTTGTGTTCAGGAACATGTTTGCTTCTATTTGAACAAACAATTATCATCTCAATTTGCAGATGGCCAGTTAGGCACTTCTGCTACCAATTAATTGTGCAGCGAGATGAATTGTAGGTACAATCCCAGCAAACTGCACATGAAAACATAGGTACTCAAGTGAACCTGTCCTTTTAAAACCCTTTGCCCTTTATGCAAATTGCCAGAGGCCACTAAGTGAGAGAAAAAAGGGATGCGATAAAGTGTTTCCTTTCTCTGTTCATTTAACACTTTCACTTCATACACCAATGCCGCATAGCAGGGACCTTGCAATTCTGACATTAAGAATGCACAATATGGACTACTCTAGAGCCAATAGGCAATATCTCCAAAAAACAAAAATCATGCCACAAACAGCTGAGTTCAATAAAGGACAGATCCTTAATTTGGTTGTGTCATGGATGAAGAAATGCCTTAGGTAATTGGGGACCTTTCTGCATAGTAATTTCAGAGTGGTTTCTGCTCGTCTCTACAATGCTCTTTCCTCCTCAGTGAAGGAGGCAGGTCAAAAGCAGAATGGGGTGTTGCTGGAGTGTGTTGTGATCCAATGATTCTAAGTGGCACAGTAGGTGCTGAGGGGCTATTCGTACCAGTGCCAGGTAATAAACCAGTTTTCAACTATCTCCAGGAAGAAAGGATCAGAAACGTATTGAAAAGCCATGTATGGTTCCCACCCTTAGCAAAGCACAGGCATTTCTGGTAATTTTTCTGTACAGAATGCAGAATATTACTATAGCTATACCAAAGGAGGCTGTAACACTGTGGTCTAGCTAAAACACTTTGTACCTTCTTGGCTTCTGCAACCTTGCTTCCTACCTCCATCCAAGATTCTAAGTCTTTAGGGGCACTTCCTTTCTTTGCTGCCTTTTTTTCTTCTTTCTCTTCCTCTCTGGAGACCCATTCTGAAGTGGGGGTGCTCCCTTTAGACAGCTGCTCTTCTGTCTTCCTGCTCAGCTCTTCTTTGGTCAGGCTTGTTCCTGGGATCAGGTCATCATCTGATTGAACTCTGGTCACCCTGGGCCTAATGGGTACCCAGGCTACAGGGCAGCAATGGCAAAGTGACGGACACAGAAAACAGCAATCAGGATATGACTGGACTTGTGAGGTGCTCTGACAGTGAACAGGATCTAAATGTCTGCAGTGCCCTGATGCTCTGTAACCAGGTGTCACAACATAGGGATAGTCTGAGCTGGATTCCACCAGCATCTGCCTGGCTGCCAAGGGCATCTGAAGTTCTAAGATGATGCGCTCACTTAAGGGCAAAGGGATCCACAGAGCTTGGTCAGCACGCACCTTCTTAGTCTGCCCATTCCAGAAATTCACAAGCACTTCTCTGTCATTAGGCACTGAAAACAGGAAAAAAAAAGTCATGGGTAACATTTTAGAAGCAAACAAAACCTGTCTCTTGTAAATCAAATGAACCATACCTTATACCAGGGATGGGCCACTGTTTACAAGCCACAGGCTGGAAGACCACAGCTCTAGTGCAACACAGGCCAGGTGGCTTCTGCACTGCATCAAGGTCGACGGCTTTCCCCATGCCTGTACCAGGGCCAAAGAGCTGGGAGCTGTGCTTGCACTGCAGCTGCTTCTCGCAGCCCCAAGCCCCCTGCTCCCTGGCTTCTGCTACCAATTAATAGCAAGGGTGCAACTTCCAGTTGGTAGGGAGCTGCGCCAGAACCAGGTATCTAAAAACTGTGTCCACAGTGCCACCACTGCTCCCACCCTCTGCCCCCCTGGCTACAGTGGGAGCACAGCTCCCCGGTGGATAGAAGCTGTACCCCAAATCGCAGCCGGGGATTGGGAGGACTGAGAGAAGTGGCAATGGGGTGGACCTAGCTCACAGTTGCTGGGTCCCAACATAGATGCAGGCAAAGCCCCCCCACCGCTGATGCACCCGCAAAACCACCTGGCTCATGTCACACTGGAGCTAGGAGAGCTGGGAGAAGTGGCAGTGGTGTGGGTATGGCTAGAAGTTGCCTGGGTGCAGTATAGCTTCTCACTGCCCAGGGGGTTGGCTCTGCCCCCTCCCTTATCCTGTACTGGTATTGGGTCCTGGGGGGCTGGCACCCTCCCCTCCTGCTCCTCTTGCACCAGGATTGGGTTCTGAGGCCCACACTGCCCCCGCCCAGTCTCCCCATGCCAGGACTGGGCTCTGGTGCTGCCCCTACCTTGCCCTGCACACTGGGATCAGGTGCCAGAGGCTGTGTGCAGGCCCTGGGGCGCCCCATGGTCCAGAAATTTGTTGTTGGGGGAGAAGTGCTACTACTGTCCTGCTGCCGAATTTTCTGAACCCATGAGGAACCCCACAGGCTAGATAACATGGCATCACAGGCCAGAGGTTGAGTACCCCTGCTGTAAGAGATCACTGGCTTCACCTGAATCAACAGAAAAAAATCCTACTGACTTCAGTCAAGCCAGGATTTTACCTTTTGTGCATGTGGAAATTAGTCTAAACTACAGGTTTACACTATATCCAAGTATCTGAGAGATCGAGGTATGTGGTTCTCATTATGTCATAAGTGGTATCAGTTACACAGCAGAAAAAGAGATCACATAGGCCCTGGTTCATAAAAAAAACTCTACACAGTGCAGCGCTAACTTCAGTACTGAATAAGAAAGAGTCACTTAGGAAAAGGAAGAGAGAAGTGAAAAAAATAAAAGGAGGACAAGTGAAACCAAACTGCAGATTGTAAGCCAATATGCCATACCTAAATGTGCTGCTTTGCTCTCTGCAACCTGCAGTACAGTGCCTGGGCCATATCGTTCACCTTTGGGCTCCCAGGGTGCCAAGACCCTATCTCCTGGAGCTAGAGGCAACCGCCTGGCATCTTCATATTGGATGATATCATAGAGGGGGGTTTCTTGCATTCGATGCTGCACCTTGCCTTTCTGTAAGCGACTTCTCTCAAACTCAATTAAAAACCGTTCCCCAGAACTCTGTAAGATCAAATCACGCAGTTTGCCAGACAAACATGAGTCTCACCCATGGCCAAACCTAGGGGCTGGTAGCTCTTTCCATTAGGAAGAGGGAAAAGAAGAAATCCCAAGAATTGAAAGAAACAGCAAGTGGTTAGTGAAACCTTAGAACCTGCTGCATTAGTAGCTAAAAGGGTTTGACAGCCCATGTCCTCCTGCAGTTTTAGAATGCGCTAAGTGTGCTTGCTGGGTACGGAACAGCACAGCCACTGTGCCAAGGAAGAATTCTACCACCCCTCCAAAGCAAGAGAAACTGAGACACTGTTCTTTGCCACATGTCCAGTTACATATAAAAAGAATAATAAATTGATCAAGTTCCCCAAATGCTATAATTCTGACCATTTTAGATTAAACCTCTCTCTGTAAAAGGTATGGGGGGAGGGAGGGTCGTTCAGGTAGTGCCCTTGTTCCACTACTGGCAAATTACTGGGCATCTAAATGTTAAGACCTACAAATGCCTAGAGGCCAACATCCTTTTCTTTCATTTCTGCAAGTCCAGTTTCCTCTCCTGCTAATCAAGAAGACAAAGTACATGGTCTTTCCCACTCTCAGCCAGAGTTGGCAATGTTGACTTAGAATAGCTGTTTCAGCCGTTCTGGCCTCAAGTGCCTACACCCTCACCCCAAATGCAGAAACATCATTCCCCCAAATATGCAATTTCCCCTGGCCCAGGTCTCACATCTTCTACACGGTTATGACAGCATCTTCTCTCCTTCCCAAAATTAGTACCTTCCATGAGATTAATCTGACATTTCATTCAGTGAAATGACTCACAGTTTTGCTATAGTCACATTTGTTTCATTTAAGTCACCTACATTTTGGTTCTGAAACCAGCTCTTCCTTGTATGATAGTACAAAATTCAGTTGAAAACACAGTGCTGCTGATATTATATTTCTAGTGGGAGGAACACCAAGGAGGCCCACAGTTATGTAATCATAAAACCCAAAGAGAACTCATACCAATGATATTCCTGAGTAAACGGTGACTTCTCCAAGAAACCCGTTTTCAACTGGAAAATAGAGACGAAAGCACCTCTGTCCAATTGCTATTAAACATCCATGCTCACTGAACAAAGAACACAGTAACTGTATATCCTTAAGAGGGAGAGAGGGAAAAATCCTGTGCTCAAACTACCTCATTCTAGGAGTTTGGATGCAGAGAAGGGCCCAAGTAATGACAGGGGGATAAGAGATGGGGAAGAGATTCAGAAAAACCACAAATGTCAGTAGGGACACCTGTGGAAGAAGGAGTCCCGGAGACCCCAGAACATTTCAGTATGCTCAGCTTTACTGCAAGTGTTCTTTAGCTACTCAACTTTGCTTCCAGTCAAGCTTGAGCTTGGTGAAGAGGATATATTCAGAGCTGGTCTCTAGACACAGCTAGCTCTGAACAGCAACTGGCTGTAGGCACCAAAAGTATGTTGCCTTCTGTGTTGCTTCTGCTTGCAGGACTCCTTGTACTAAATGGCGAAATGTCATTAGAAAGTACAGAGAAAGATGATAAAAGAACCCCACCCAGCAACAGAGGGAGAGATGGTATTCCAAAAGAGACCCACCCCTTGGAATCCAAGGTCAGAGAGAACAGACACGTAACCAATGGGGAGTCACTTACACTCACCACTCAGGTTAAAGACTTACCTTCACCTGTTGGGCAATGTGGCCTTGGTAGTAATACCCATCAGTCTCTCTCCTGGCTAGGATCCGAACCCCCCTCAGTAAATAGGGTACCTCTAGGGATATGTCCATTAAATTCTCCTTTGCTGACGATGCCAGGGGTAGAGTAGGAGGATCTGGTCTCCATCCACAAGTAGGAAAGCTGTTGGAACAGGATGAAAATCCTTTAGTAAGCAAGGCAGATTTCTGCAAGGCATTAGAATCAAAACCACAGAAAAAAACACCAAAAGCTGTCTTATATTCCCAGTTGCTTCCATCCCTGAGTTTTTCAACTGGCCTGCTAAGCTTATGGATCTAGCAGTCTGTTTCCAACATTTGAACTTACTGTTTTTTAGGGCACCCCAACAGCAATGAACAACCTGAACGATTACTGACTGCGCTGCAACAGTGGACATTTGAGCATTTGGCGTTTACCTGGAAAAGGAATGGGAAGTAGGAAAGGATTTTTTTAATGAAGTCTAAATCTTTAAACAGTTATTTCATACAGAGATTTTCAGTTCACCTTCAAGACAAATGATTTGTCTAGCTACTTCCACTATACCCACTGCTGTGCTATTTCAGCACCTGTAAGCATCC